TTCCAAAGTTCAAGTTTGGTGAACTCTGACCTGCGAATTCGCATCACGTGAAGGCGTGTGACCAGTAGAAGATTGATACCTCACTGCGTGACCTCTCTGTACAGAAATTGAAAAATAGAGGAAGCGCTCATTTTAGCCGTAGCGCAGCGTCCTATTTTATATAATACATCTTCAATGGAAACATGAACAGACGATAGAGAGAGAAAGAGAGTACAATATAATTACTAAAGACAAGTATTATTATTAAATTACATAATGTTGTTCGTTATTTTATATTTATATTTTCAGAATCATTTTAAAATTAATTTTGCACACCTCAAGAACTTATAAAATGACCTATTTAAAGGGAAAAACCTACAGCACATAAAGCACAGCACTTAAAAATTTAATATATATATGTACAGTCAAACCAAAATTTATTCAGACACCTTGAACATTTCATTCATTAATAGTTTATTCACTATAGTTTAAAAAAATGGTAAGAAAATATGACAGAGCCGAAAGTACTCCTTGTGGCGATCCTCATCGAGCCGAAGCTCCTGAATTAAAGAATGGAACTCTCCCCGCTCATTCCAAGTCCGTAGAATAGGGTGAACCCACAGCCTTCTCCTTTCCAGATGCTATTGACGCCGTCGCAAAAGACACAGTACAAGCACATGGGAATCCATGTTGTGATAACTGAGGGGAAACCTTGGCATGTGATGTCATATCCTGCTCCCGCCCATATTCGCAGCGGCGTCCGAAAATTTTTTACACGTTCAAATTCTAGTGTGACCGCCCCTTAGGAGGGGGATTCCCCTCCATTTTCTCTGAAGCCACACTTGCTGCATTTGAGCCCAAAGACTACATCTAAGTTTTGATAATCTAAATATTTTTGTTCTATGGGATTCAAGTTTAACTAGTAAATGGCAAAAAGTGTTTTTACAGTAGCTAGCTAGCCAGTAAAATCAAGATATGAAAAATCTAAGCGAGTTAGCACTATTTCATTGACAATTTATGAGGTATGAACTAGCTCAAGCTGTGATGCTCTTTCTGCTAGCCAGTTTTCTGTTATCATACAGAAGTACAGTACTGGTCAAAAGTTTGGAAACATTATTATTTTAATGTTTTAAACATTGCATATCTTTTCATCATCAAACCTTCATTTATTTGATCAAAAATACAGAACAAAACAGTAATATTGCACAGTATTACTGGTACTACAATTTAAAATAATGGTTTTCTGTTTTAATATACTTTAAAATATAATGTTTTTCTGTGATGCAGAGCTGAATTTTGAACATCATTACTCTAGTCTTCAGTGTCACGTGATTCTTCAGAAATCATTCTAATAATCTTATTTATAAACAATTTTGGAAACCGTTGTGCTTTCAAAATTCAGCATCACAGATTCCACCCAAAAAATCCCAAAATTTTTTACACGTTCAAATTCTAGTGTGACCGCCCCTTAGGAGGGGGATTCCCCTCCATTTTCTCTGAAGCCACACTTGCTGCATTTGAGCCCAAAGACTACATCTAAGTTTTGATAATCTAAATATTTTTGTTCTATGGGATTCAAGTTTAACTAGTAAATGGCAAAAAGTGTTTTTACAGTAGCTAGCTAGCCAGTAAAATCAAGATATGAAAAATCTAAGCGAGTTAGCACTATTTCATTGACAATTTATGAGGTATGAACTAGCTCAAGCTGTGATGCTCTTTCTGCTAGCCAGTTTTCTGTTATCATACAGAAGTACAGTACTGGTCAAAAGTTTGGAAACATTATTATTTTAATGTTTTAAACATTGCATATCTTTTCATCATCAAACCTTCATTTATTTGATCAAAAATACAGAACAAAACAGTAATATTGCACAGTATTACTGGTACTACAATTTAAAATAATGGTTTTCTGTTTTAATATACTTTAAAATATAATGTTTTTCTGTGATGCAGAGCTGAATTTTGAACATCATTACTCTAGTCTTCAGTGTCACGTGATTCTTCAGAAATCATTCTAATAATCTTATTTATAAACAATTTTGGAAACCGTTGTGCTTTCAAAATTCAGCATCACAGATTCCACCCAAAAAATCCCAAATTGTCATTTTTTAAATTTGTATTAGTTTGCATGCATGTGAGCCTATGATCAAACAAAATGTTTCAATTTATGTTTGTATATGATAGTTTTATAAATTTCCCAAAATTTTCAATTAATTTCCAAAACTTCCCTGTAAATTCCCATAAATTCCTGGCAAGTTTCAAACTTGGAATATTTCCAAAATTCCCCAGACAAAGTTTCTGGAAAATTTCCGGAAATTTCCTGGAAATTTTCCGCCCCTTTGCAACCCTAATTACCTGTACCTTCCATAGTTATTCAAACAGCGAATAAATTATACCGAGAATGCTAGCAAAGAACATTTACACTGTCAAAGAACATTATGACTGACTTAAGTCTAGTGTGAGTTTAGGCACTCTAAAAAAAAATCCCCTTATAATCAATAAAGCTGTCTATACACGGTTTTATGAATGAATCTCTTACATCATACGTACATCTGCGCTTTGTTGTTTATGATGAGAGAATTCGCGTGAGAGCTGAATTCAGTCAGCGAGCGCCGTGCACTGAACAAAAACTCATCTGAACACCTCTGATTGGCCATTGCATTCATACGCTCAACAGACTCATGTGTGATTGGTTATAATGCTGTAAAAATGCATAAAAAATCATGGCGCAACACTGAGCTGATCTAAATGTAATGCTGCGGTCAACAATTTTCATTTAATTTGCATTTTATTCGCAACAGCCGTAATAGTTTAGTTCATTATATATAGATCAGTGGTCATTGGGCGAATTCCAAACGGAAGTGAGCATCCTTATGCCCTACTCCCTTCGAAGGGCAGAGCCCTTGAAGTGTGTTCTTTGAAGGGTGTAGGGAATTACTGTCTCGTATAAGCGTTTGGAACTCCCTTGGCGAAGGGAATGACGGACCAAATGTTACCTTGACAACGCTGAGCCGAGCATGTGTGCCGCATTCAGCACTCCATCAGTTGTTGCAAATAAATATATTTCTTCTCATTATTATAATTTTATTCAAATGTTGTCTAATTGTGTCTTATTTACTATTAAGCTTTTTCAAACTAAACTTGCTTAAACTTGCTTACACTACCATCTTAAATAATATTTCTGACGAAAAATATTTTGTATTACATTAAAATAAAGACAAATTTAATTAGCCTATCCTACTTACATTTGTGTTGAAATCAACCACATCTTTGCTTTAAAATGCGTCGCAAGATTTCCTAACTGAAGATCACATGATCACAAACGGAAATCACTTCCGTGAAGTGACCATCGCATGTTCCCTTCGCTAACGGACTTCTGGAAGGGCCCTTCGCAAAAAAATTCAGAATGTTTAATTTATTCATAACATGATATAGTTAAGTAACACCATGACAAGTGAGCTATAATCACTTCCGTGAAGTGACCATCGCATGTTCCCTTTGCTAACGGCCTTCGCTGACTTCTGGAAGGGCCCTTCGCGAAGGGATTCAGTTGTTCACTTTCGTTTGGAACATCCCTACAAATGGCGTCCCCTTCCCGAAGTACCCTTCAAGGGTGCAAAAAAGCCGTTTGGAATTCGCCCAATTATTTAAAATTGGAATTTCTCAGGATTTACAAATCCTTGGGAACTTTTGGAATAACATAAATACACAACTGCATAAAATATATAACACTGTGCAAGTAGTTTTTGGATATTTTATTACAAAAATCTTACATATTGTACCTTTAAGAGATTTAATGAATACATAAAAGAACAAAATGACTGTAAGTATTGGTGTTTATTCTTTAAACTTAATCTGAAGATTTATCATGTTTTACAGCATTTGCAAAGTAATTAAATAATACATTTGACTAATTGTTGTGGAATATTTTCTACTTTAGCCAACAAATATGCCTTTTAATACACTTAAAGGGTTAGTTCACCCCAAAATGAAAATTTATTCAGCCCATAAATTACTTTACTTTACTTTTATTTTTAGTCATTTAGCAGACTCTTTTATCCAAAGCGACTTACAAATAAGAAAAAGTAATTAAAACTACAAGCTAAAACTCTATAAATACTATATATATATATATATATATATATATATATATACAGTGGGTACGGAAAGTATTCAGACCCCCTTACATTTTTCACTCTTTGTTATATTGCAGCCATTTGCTAAAATCATTTAAATTATTTTTTTCCCTCATTAATGTACACACAGCACCCCATATTGACAGAAAAACACAGAATTGTTGACATTTTTGCAGATTTATTAAAAAAGAAAAACTCACATTACCGTTGTTGTTGTTGTTATTTTTCAAGAAATTATTACTTTATTCAGCAATGATACTTAAACTGATCAAAAGTGACACTCAAGACTTTTACATTGTGCAGAAAAAAAATCTATTTTAAAAATGCTGTTCCTTTGAACTCTCTATTAAAGAATCCTGAAAAAAATGTATCATGGTTTCCACAAAAATATTAAGCAGCACGACTGTTTTAATTGATACTAACGATTAGCCAAATCGGTTGGGTTACAAGGTTTAAAATGGGGTTAGATTTTACTGTGTGAGATTTGTAGGTGTTAAAAGAATGACATAAAACAGAGATAGGTTTCAATAAAATGGTGTATTTACATAGTTCACATGAGACTTTAAAACAACACAAGCATACAGTCCGTTAACAAGGCCGTTAAAAGCATGCAGTCCATTGCACCATACCCTAAAACGGTCCAAGAAATTGCTGAAAAGTCCCAATGTGTGTGTCCACCAGTGTATATACAGTCCAAAAGAAGTGATAATCCAATTAGTTGCAAAGTTTTTTTCAGCCTCTTTTTCTGTTATGAAATTTTGACAGCGTAATAAACTATAAGTAAACACTTGACATTGGGTTCAATCAGGATTTGTGTTTACATTAAGACTGTGTTAAAGTTCACAGACCTGGGCTTATGTTTATTTTCTACTTCCTTTCCCTCAGGCTCGCCTGTCCTATATTCGAGTAAAGTATCTCTTTCTCACATGGCTTGCTGTGTTTGTGGGCAGTTGGGTTGTGTATGTGCAGTACTCAACTTACACTGAGCTGTGCAGAGGACGCGAATGCAAGAGCATCATTGTGAGTACAGCCCCCTTTGATGGTTGCTTTCATTTTCAGCTTCAGATTATGTAGCCTGATACATATTGGCCAATATGGAGTATTTAATTGTGTGGTTAATTTCCCAAATTTTTACATTAAGATGACCTTAAACATCATCTAATGCTCACTTAAAGTTAATATTTAAAAACATAATTTAATGATTTGATAATTTAACATGGTAAATGTAATCTTTATATGACTGATTTTAATTTTTAGTGTCTTAATTTCTATTAATTTAGACAAAATAGTATAGAATTTTAATATTTATGGATTTATGGATTATTTGCCAATACATGAAAATAAGAATCATTTTAATATTGGTGCATCCCTAATAATAGTACAGTGACATTAAAGGGGTATTAGTTCACTTAAAAAGAACAAACTCACCCTCATGTTGTTCTAAACACATTCCCCCCCCCCTTCTTCCATGGAAAGCAAAAGGACACATTTAACAGAATCGAAATAGGTCATACAATAGCTTTGTGAGCAATTCACAGATATTTGTATTATTATTCACTGAAAAGCTTCTACAGCTTAGCTCTCTATATTTGAATATAGTGCCTAAAGATTAAGAGAAGGTTGTTGCGTGTCATATGATGGTTTGTCATTTAAGAATATGTATATTGGCAAATGAGATTTGAGAGCTATAGTGAAGGGACTTTTTGTATGACACACAAAGCAGTGGTAGCACACAAAGCATTCCTGGTCCTGGGGACCCACTGCTCTGCACATTTTGTATCTCTCTTTTATCTGATACACTCAGTTCAGTTCATGGAACTCTCACCTAATGAGCTGGTGATCTAAATCAGGTGTGTAAAATAAGGGAGACATATAAAATTTGCAGAGCAGTGGATCCCCAGGACCAGGACTGAAAACCACTGCAGAAGACTTATGTGCTATATTCTATATGAATGAACCAATTATTGTATATGTCAGTGTAGTATATTTTACAAGAAAATACTATATTAGTCTTTCTACTTCAAATTTTAATTACATTTTTGTTAAATTTACTAGCAATTTCTGAGTAAAATTTGTTTTAAAGTAAATCGTACACCATTTTTTCCATGTGCAAAAGATTAGCTTAAACATTCTACTTAACATCATCTTTTGTGTTTTGTGGAAGAAGGAATGTCATATTGATTTGGAATAACAAGGGTGAGTATATGATGGCAACATTCATTTTGGGGTAAACTATCCCTTTAAGACGTAAAGGTGCACTAAGCAATATTTGAAAAACGCTTTTGACCACTGTGTCAGACCGAGTCCCAAAACACACTCGCAGCCAATCAGCAGTAAGGGGCATGTCTAGTAATGATAGGGAGAAGCTCAGTGTGCAGTGTTGCCAGGGTCGCAGTCACGGAAAAAATTACAGAGCTGCGGGTTGAGGTTTTTTTGGGCTACTTTTATAATGTACTGCGGCCACCGAAAGTGTATCTATGGACAAATAAAAATGAAAATAGATCCTTTTACTAATGTGTAATATACTTGGCAACTTAAAAATGGAGATGATGTCACATCACAACCTATTAACTTACGTGAGTTTCACCCAGAGCACAGCAGAAATAAACAGCAAGTCAAAGCATGTTGCTTATAAGTCTGCATGTTCTTCGTGTCTCTGTTTAAAAAGCATAGTTTTGTTTACAAACTCAAACACACGTGAAGCTCACAGTGATTTCAGCGTTTGCCTCGCACTTCATGAACTTCATCTCCATAGCCTCTCCGAGAGAGCTTTTCATCGTATCTTCTTTCACGACAAACGTGAAATATATTACTATGATATAGTAAAATGTACTTTTCAAAATAATGGGCTGATACTATTACTATTATTTGTAAGGAATATCATTCAACCCAAATATTTTTCATCCATGTTTTAATATCAAGCATACCGTTTTGTCGTGCATCATCTTATATTTGACAAAAATAAAAATGCAATGTTTTTGTTGTAAATTAATTGTTATATTTTATTATATTATTACCAATTTCATTAGACAGAATTTTTCATGATAAATTTGTATTAAATAATAAAACAAAATAAATAAAGTGGAAAACACATCATTTAAAGGGGTCATATGATGCAATTTAAATTTTTCCTTTCTCTTTGGAGTGTTACAAGCTCTTGGTGCATAAAGAAGATCTGTAAAGTTGCAAAGACTAAAGTCTCAAATCCAAAGAGATATTCTTTATAAAAGTAAAGAGTCAACCACGCCCCCCTAAAACGGCTCGTTCCAACATGCCCCAACATGTCTACGTCACAATGTGGGAAGATTTGCATAACGCCGCCCAAATGTTCACGCAAAGAAAGAAGGCATAACTTTTATTCTCGCTGTAGTATTGTTATTGCCGCTGCCACCATGTCGTGAAGATGCTGTGTGTGTCGTTGTGAAAGCGAAACTACTTTGTTTGACCTTCCAAAAGAGGACGATATCCGCTTCGTCATGCCTGGAGCTGATCCGTGCTGGTCGCTGAGGAAATACATCAACTTTCGTGCTGTGGATCGCCGGATCGGCTTTCAACATGGACGAAGAGGAGTCCAGCCCAGGGTCATCACATGTGGTTGCCGCAAGCCCGCCGGCCGCTCCTTCGTCGACTCTGCCGGCCGCGCCGTTCTCAAGCCCGCCGGCCTCCGCATACTCTAGGCCGCGGCACACTCTAGGCCACGGTGTGTGACGCTGTTTCATTGTGAAAGCGAAACTACTTTGTTTGGCCTTCCAAAAGAGGACATGACTAGAAATCAGTGGTTAAGTTATATTTACAACACTGCTCCAGAACAGTTTAACCCAAATATTCAGATGTGTCCAGCGCATTTTATGGAGGACTGTTTCCTGATCCTGGGAGAGTAGACTACAATGCCGGCTGTTCTGACTCACAGACTGTAAGTACGTTTTTTCATATTTAAAGAATTTGAACGCGTAAAAAGACAGTATAAATCATTATAATCCATAATTATGTCCCCACTGGATGCAACAAATGCCTTGTTTATAATGGGTTTTAATGTTAGCTGGCCAATCAGAGCACACCTCGCTTTTCAGACCAATGAGCTTTGTAAAAAGCATAGAGGAGAAACAATAATGTACAGTATGTGGAAAATAATGTGTTTTTTGAACCTTAAACCACATACACATACACATATCATTACACCAAATACACAAAATAATGTTTTTTTTAGCAGCATCATATGACCCCTTTGAAGAAAAATAAAGTGAATTTCATGGGGCCCTAAATTAAACGTTGGTTTGAAAGAATTTATGAAAAAAAAACAAGTTATTTACATTCTCAAAGCATTTCCTTCCATAATAATGGTAAATGAATATTATGATAAATATTGCTGTGATATGAAAAAAAATATTGTCATAACATTTCTGGCAATATTACCCAGCCCTAATTTAAAATTTTGTCATGAAAAGTGCTGAAAATTAAAATGAAAGAAAGTGAAAAAAATGAAAAATAAAACACAAATTAAATAATTGAATATGCACATACTGCATATAAACTTGTCTTGCTAAGATTTAAATCATAGAATAAATAAACCAAAAGGTTTCATTTAAAGGGCATTAATTAAGTAAAGCAGCTGTCAGCTGTGATTGGACAGGGCAAAAATTGGGCTAGTTTTCATTCCTTTTGGGTGGGTTTTGAGTCAACTTTGGGCTGGAAATTTTTCTGGGACCTGGCAACCCTGTCAATGTGTGCACAGGACGGATATTAGCAGATCGACTATAGATAGCGAGAGATGCCAGATAAAAAAATTTTTTTGGAGGAACAAAACAGAAGGGTAACGATCAGGCAGGAGGTAGGACCCACGTAAATATTGGAGCAGCTTTCCAGCGGAGGAGAGGACTCAAGGAGAGGGAAGGCCTGGAATCGGGACGCCGAGGTGAGTTACGTTGAATTACCACACGCATCGCTTTCACTTATTGATGACATCATACCTTCGGCCGGCAGGCATACCAGATTCCGGCATTGTTGCTGCCAGGGTTGTGTATGTACGTGTGGGCCGGAGTTATCAAAATAGGGGCGAGGTCCTGTTGGGGTACGGGCGTGCTTGTTTTGGTGCTTTCAAATATCGTTTGGCAAAATTTGCTTAGTGTACCTTTAAATGAGATGGAAAATATATCCATATATTACCTAACCCCACAGCCCCATCTAATGGTATTGTGGTGAAAATGTTTCTCCTTTATTTAAGCCATTACACAACATCTTAGTGTAACACTTACTTGATTTATGGAATGTCACTTACATTCTCATTGAAATGGACCTTCCCTTTCCAACAGTGTGAAAGATACAGCAAAGGTGTTATTGATGGCTCTGCCTGTAGCAGCCTCTGTGAAGAAAGCTCACTGTATTTTGGAAGGTGCCTCTCCACCAAACCAAACAATCAGGTTTGACACTAACACACTCAACCATAGGCCCTAAAACAGAATCCAATCATGCTCCTGGAAGGCACCTTCAAGAAGAGTCTAGCACTAATTAAACTCACCTGAACTAGCTAAATAAAGTTCTTTAGAATTACTAGAAACATTCATGCAGGTGTGTTGAAGCTGAACTCTGAATGAAGGAGGCTTCTCTATTGGCACTTTTCCACTGCATGGTACGACTCTGCTCGGCACGGCTCAGTACGCTACAGCACGGCTCGTGTTTCCTGAAAAACGTTTTCATTCCGCGTTGCCCCATCAAGCTCTCGCTGGATCTGCTCTTCTGCTATCAACAAGAGGAACATCTGTACTTCCTCAACAGACAATGAAACAGTCACTTTTTGGTTGTTAAAAAAGGTGCGCTTGTTCAAAACAGTTGCGTTCGATCCTTCGCTGGCTGTGCTGATTTAAATTTAGCGGTTCTGTTGTGTTTGTGTCGCAAGTTCAGTGACGCAGGTAGTGACGATTCTCTCCGGCCAATCCATGATCAGCAGAGTTTACACGTCACGTTTTGGTAACGGTACGGTTCACTTGGAACCTCAACCGAGGTGGTACTAAAAAAAGTACCAGGCACTGTACCCAGTGGAAAACCCCCCAAAAGTGAACCTTACCGTGCCGTACCATGCAGTGGAAAAGCGCCATATGAGAGGGATTGGACATCCCTAAAACCACATACATCTCAGTACTGTAATGATGACAGTGTGTTCCTCTGTTGCTCTCAGGTCTATACAGGCAGCTGGGGTGATCATGACGGTGTCATCAAGTGTCAACTGAGTGACATCCTGCACTATGAGCTGGGAGAGGAGTTGGAGCCAAAAAAAGAGGTTGCACTCTTTGACAAACCCACTCGAGGAACCTCTGTTGAGAAGTTCAAAGAGATGGTTGCCAGTCATTTGAAGGTTTGGATGCTTTTTTTGGTTTTAGAAAATCATTACCGCTCATTAAAGGTCCTAATCACAGCACTGTTTGCATTGTTCGGCACTCAGTTCTTTAAAGGAAAGCCTCAAAAATGTCACCAGAGAGAGGTCTTGTCACTAGTTATGGCAGTTTGATTAAAAAATAAATAAAGTATGGAACGTGCATGGCATGGATGAATTGTCCTTAAATAGATCAATAACGTGCATTTAGAATTTCCACTTCAGGTTGACTTTAAATAAACACAGTGCCTGTAACTTTCGCAAGTCATGCTAAAATAGTGCAGCATTGTAGAGAATTTGCCTTCAAGTGTTTGTTTAACCTAACCAAATTCACTTCTCATGCCATTCCTGCTTGCAATTAAAGTTCTCACATTCTTGGAAAACCTGGAAGGATGAGGATGTTTTAAAAGTGTGATTTTTTTCTGTCAGATTAATAAAACCTTACAAGGTCATTGTTATAGTTAGTACATATTTTTTCTAGTTTATAACTATACTCATTTCTAAAGTATCTATATTAAATTATTTTTAACCATGCTTATCCAGTCATTTCAAATAACTCATGGAAAAGTCATGTAAATTCATTGGTCACGACTTGTGGGAATGCTTTTACTAAGGTATGCAGAAAAAAAAGCAGCAAAATGGAAAGTGTTGCTTGCCTCACTATTGTACTTTGTTTTTGAATCTTTGGTTTTGTTTATGAAGTGTCAAATATGAACGGTGCTTGTGTCCATCTGAAACAAATGTTCTGAAAACACTTGTCAATTTGTGCTGGAGGCGAGCAGAAATTAGGTATGCATTTATCTCTCTACTTGCTGTACATCAGTCACGCTTATCAGGAAATTAAGTGAGCACACACTGTTCCAAGTGCCACCCTAAGCCCTCGCGGTCTTCCTCTGAGTCCACACTTATGTGAAGTAATGCAACTCTGACTAAGTCTGTAAGTTTTGATTAAGTACACGTCAAGGACACATAACTCAATGCTCAAATGCATTCTTCTGAAACTTAAAATGGTGAATTAGCGAACATGCACACGTGGTGGCCATAGTAAGTCCACAGGACCACAAGTTCACTTGAAGTGTGCCATTTGGGACTGGGCCTCACACAATTTGACCAAATAATTTAATTAATAGCTGTTCACTCCTACTATTTAATATTATTGCGTATCTGCAGCAAACTGTACGGCTAGTCCAGCTTTTAAAAATGGACAGGTGCACACCAGAGTTTGAAAAACAGCATTCATATCTTTTTGTTTTATCATCTCTTTCGTGCTCAAACTCATGTTATATTTATCATCTCTAACACAACTCAACCAGGCCTTGCCTCCTTATATTTTTTTGCTTATGCTTTGGGTGTGAATTATTTAAATGAGGGGTATTGTGACATGAACGCTCCCGGAAGAAAACTCAGGACTATTATCAAGGCATTTGAGGGAGTTTAGAAACAGTGCTTACTGATATAGAGAATAACTCCCTTTGGATTGGACTATGTGCTTTATAACTCTGCAGGTCTTTTTCATGCAGAAACAGCAACATTACCTACTAAAGGAAGTTGAAAATGTAAAAAAGCATTATAGGAGCCCTTTAAAATGGACTCCCTTATGATTTCCAGGTGTTTACCAAAGTTTGGAAATGACCCAAGTGCTAGTGTGAAAGCACTCTTATGGGCTTTGGCATTTAATTTTTTCACTGAAATCAGTTGACATCAATTTCATACAATTGGATGTGTATGAAATCATAAAATCATAGCAAATTCTTTGTTTTGTTTCTACAGGCAAAAGTTGGAGAGCAAGCCAACCTCTCCAGTTTGGTAAGCATGATTCTTTCAGTGGCAGACAGCAATAAAGACGGCCACATCTCTCTGCCAGAAGCCAAGTCCACATGGGCTTTGCTGCAACTCAACGAGGTTCTGCTAGTAGTGGTGCTCCAGGACCGAGACCACACACCTAGACTGTTGGGCTTCTGCGGGGACCTGTACGTGGTGGAGCGGGTGCCTCACACTCCCCTGTACGGGCTCAGCCTGCCGTGGCCCATGGAACTTTGGATTCCTACGGGCATGCGGCGAAACATGGACCAGTGGTTCACGCCTTCCTGGCCACGCAAGGCTAAAATCTTTATCGGCTTGCTGGAGCTTATAGAAGACATCTTCCATGGTACCTTTGGGAGCTTCTTAATGTGCGACATGAGAGCCAGTACTTTTGGTTACACCGATCGCCATGACCTCAGGCTGGTGGACGGGCGGCGCGTAGTAGCTGAGGAGGCCTTCAAACAGGCCATGATCCTTCAGCATTGCGAGGACGACGGGGACTGCGTCTATGGTGTGGACTGTAGGACTTTGTGCGACCGCGCAGAACACCGCTGCACGGCTGAGGTGGCTCAGCCCAACCTGGCCAGGGCTTGCGGAGCACTGAAGGATTACCTCCTACGAGGAGCTCCGGTCCATCTACAGGAAGAGCTGGAGAAGCAGCTGTACGCCTGCATGGCTCTCAAAGGTTCAGCCGAGCAGATGGAAATGGAGCACTCGCTCGTTCTCAATAACCTCAAGACACTGCTATGGAAACAGATCTCACACACCAATGACTCCTGAAGAGAAATGAAGACTCACTGGTGACAACATTCAGATTCTTGAATGTCTTCTGAAGCACTTCAGGCCATTGTGAATCTGGCTGGCGATTAAAATGCTGGTAGCAACGTGGCTGGAAAATAGACTGATGGCAATATTCATTGCTGCCTTGATACGGTTTAAGTTTTTTTATGACGAAGGTAGAATTAAAACCATGAGGAGGAGGACTTAAGGAGTAATGTTCACTTCTTAGTTTCGTGTTTTTTTTTTGTTTTCACACACAATTGATCAGTTGTCATGTTTATTTTACACTTCCTTCAGATGTTATGAAGGAGCAAATGACCCTTAATTTTGCATCCATTGTTGGATGTTAACATAGAAAGCTAAGGAATGCACTAGCCACTGACTGTGGTTGTGTAAGTCTCCTATTGTAATGTTTGTCACAAGAGCACAGCAAAAAGAGCCATAAAAGAAATGATTTTGAAAATGGACATAATCAAATGCCTTGATATGCATGTTGCCAGTGAGTGTGCGTTTTTTAGTTTGATTATTGTGGGTGAAAATACCTCATTCCTTTTACTTGGACAATTCTTGGAAATGGTCAGACTATGATCTGAAGGTAACAGATTGCAATAAGGTTAAATTTGTTGTAATATTTATAACAAATTTATAATACAATACTTTCAAAAGCATTAGTCTAATGTTAATTTATATATATGTACAAATACATTTACACCATCTCAAGTTGTATAATTTAATGTATTACATTACCTTAAAATAATGAATTACCTTAGAATAATATTTAGAAGTTAACATTAACCTAGATTAACAAATGCTGTAAACTGTTTATTAGTTTGTGATACCTAATGCAGTAACTAATGTTAATGAATTTAGCCTTATTGTATAGTGTTAAGGCAGCTCACACTACACAACATTTGGCTGGATTTCCAAGGTTTCTGACAAAACGTAACCCTGAATCGCGGCCAAATTAGTTTAGTTTATTTGTTTACAGGGGAAATGCGCATTAATAAACATACAGTGCACAGCATAAATGAGTACACCTCCTCTAAAACTTAACAAATTCAGCAATTACTCTTTACTTCGAAGACATGTTAGGGTTCTTTGGAGATGTAATGTTCCAACAAACTTGCTTAAACTCATTTGAACTCTTCCAGGGCCCAGATTTACAAAATGGGGACTTCTGGGAATCCATACTCTGGTCTCAAGAGACCAAGTCAATCATTTCGGATCCAAAAGCATCCAAAATGTTCTGGTGTTGCTAGAGGAGGAGTACAGAGAGAAGTGCCTGGTTCCCACAGTGGCATTGAGTGGTTGTAAAGCTCTTCTATTGGTATGACTGAGTGCTGAAGGTGTGAGGGAGTTGTGCTTTATCAAAGCTGGCATGAATTCACACACTACTGTGTGATGTAATACAAAAACTTGAAACAGAAGATGCTACCCTCCCCTCATTCCCTGCATTATTGGGCATTTTTCAGCATTACAATGAATATATTCATTCTCCCAAGGTGAAAATCCTTCAGTGGACATGTATTTCACTCAATCTTAAAGGGGTCATATGATGCGATTTCAATTGTTCCTTTCTCTTTGAAGTGTTACAAGCTCTTGGTGCATAAAGAAGATATGTAAAGTTGCAAATACTCAAGTCTCAAATCCAAAGAGATATTCTTTATTAAGGTTAAGAGTCAACCACGCCTACCTAAAACGGCTTGTTCTAACACGCCCCCACATGTCTACATCATGATGTGGGAGGAATTGCATAACACCGCCCAAATGTTCACGCAAAGAAAGGCGGCGTAACTTTTACTCTCGCTGTAGTATTGTTGCTGCCGCTATGTCATGAAAATGCTGTGTGTGTCGTTGTGAAAGCAAAACTACTTTGTTTGGCCTTCCAAAAGAGGACGATATTCACTTCGTCATGCCTAGAGCCGATCCGTGCTGGACGCTGAGGAAATCAACTTCGCACTGTGGATCACCAGATCGGCTTTCACCGTGGACGAAGCGGAGTCCAGCCCAGGGTCGTCACGTGTTGTTGCCACAAGCCCGCTGGCCGCCGCTCACTCTAGCCCGCTGTGTGTTTCGTTGTGAAAGCGAAACTACTTTGTTTGGCCTGCCAAAAGAGGACACGACTAGAAATCAGTGGTTAAGTTGTATTTACAACACTGTTTCAGAACAGTTCAACCCAAATATTCAGATGTGTCCAGCACATTTTATGGAGGACTGTTTCCTGATCCTGGTAGAGTAGACTACAATGCCGGCTGTTCTGACTCAGACTGTAAGTACGTTTTTTACATTTAAAGAATTTGCCACTGATGATTCAAACGCGAGTTTTGAGCAGTGTATAGTGCTTGTTGTTTGTCATTTCTCTGATCACAAATGAAGACATGGTTTATTTTGTTTACAATGTTTCAATTTTTCCATCTTTCCATGAATTATATTAATTATTAGTGATCATTAATAAAATACATCTTTTATATTTATTCAGAAGGGGTGTACTCATTTATGCTGTGCACTGTAACTGTAAATGTGCCAGAATTAGCCAAAAAGGCTACTTTTCATCTGTAGACCCTTGACAGAATGTTAAAAAGTCACCCTAAAAACAGAAACAGAGCATCTTACACACATATACACATCTACAAAGAAAAGGGAGTAAAAAGTATAATACTGAAAAAAATACAGATACATGAATGCACAATAAAAGTTACTACTAAAATACAAATATTAGTAGTTCTCTAGACAAAATAGAATGTAAGGAAAAGGAGATAGAGATGGCGACAGGAGAAAGCAACATAGCCAAGAGCAATTAGTACAAAGAAGCCTACTTTCAAGAATACAGTACTAATGTTGACAGTGCTGAGTGCTGCATTTTTTAAAATGAATATGAAAAGAACCATAAGTATCTAGTCTTCTAATTGTTGATGGGATGGAGTTCCATTCCCTTGCAGCTTTGACTGAGAATACAGACTGACTACATTTACATCTTTTGAGAGGAATAATAGTCCCCTCTTTCCCCACACCTTGTAGACTGGTGAGCAGTTGTTCAAATATTCACAAACTGTTTTAATGGTAAAGTCAGGCTATGAATAGTCTTAAACAGTAGACAAATATGTACATATTTGATCAGGTTATCCTTGACCAAATGTCTTGTACTTTGTGCACCTCATCAACGTTGTGTTGTGTAGTATGCGGTCTGCTATGTCAAGATAAGAAAATTTGTGTAGTGTAAACACCACAGCAATTCAGGTAGTCTTACAGTTCTGTTGTGTGAGCTTGCCCTTATTGATCTGAATGTTTACAAAAGTGAGTCTTGTAAATGATGCTGGTAGGCCCTTCTCAGCCATGGAAGTTCAAAACATTTATCATTTTGGTTTGTTGGGTTCCTAATTTTTGTCTGGTGAAAACTATTTTGATATGTTTTTTTTTTTTTTTTATCTAAAAACCGTATGAAATGTTCATCACAGTCAAGATTCTTGATGTACTTATGAATGAAGAGATTAAAAGGTGCTTGATGTTTTTTTATCAACCATTTTTTTAGTGGGATGATTCAGATTGTATGTCGTCAGACTGCTTCAGTTTTGTGTATTCATAAATCACTCTGCTGCTGATTAAGAGTTAAATAGAGATTTTTATAAGATTTGATTGCATGACTTTGCACATTAAAAATGTTTCAAATAATATCCCAAATGCATCTTCATTGTCAAATCAACATTTTCTCATCTTCTACTCTACCAAAGACCACAAACACACTGTATTCTTTCCAAATGATTTATTTGGAAGCTTTCTTTGGAGCAGTTGACACTTAATTTCTTTAGTCGTCTGCAGCAGCGTCCTGTGCCCGGAGGAAGCTGGCTTTTTTCTGGGCTACTCGGTCCTTCCTCTGGGCCAGAGTCAGCTTGGCACGGTTCCACCTAACAACACACATATTCATCAGTGATGAGAAAATTAACATCTCATGTGGTCAGAATAGTCAAAAAAAAAAAAAAGGTAAATATAAACATCTGACATGTAAGTGTTATAAATAGTAGCTACAGCATATTTGCATCATGTTAAGCATCACCATTGAGATCTTATGGGAAGACTCAAGACTCAAACCTTTATCTTAGTCAACACCACTATTTGTTTTAAGAGCTACATGTCCAACTGTAATAAAATAACATTTATACAGTTTTGCCATCAAAACTACAACTTGCCAACACTGTCAAGTTTCATGGCAATATCAATTCCATGACAGTCAGTAGGCAGAGCAACCCTTAGATTAAAATCTGAAGAAATGATAGAAGCCTGAAAATGCACCTCTTCTTCTTGACTTCTCTCTTGGGCTTCTTCTCATGAACTGGGTTCTCACGGATGGAAGCATGGGCCTTTTTGTACATCTCTTCAACCTGCAGGAACCAGATAATCATATAACAATAAGTGAAGGTAAAGCACTAGATTTACAATAAATGAAGAAAATATTTTCAAATATTAAACTGTATGTATCTGCAATACAAATGAATGACATTTAGCCACCAGCATCATGCCACAAATAATGTGCATCTATAAATGATACAGTATTTGGTGGACATGACACTTTCTTGTATTATTTACATTTAGTCATTTAGCAGAAACACTTTCTTGTATCACATCTGCACCACCAAAAGCAAACAAATGTTGCCAGTAAAGTGATCCAGAGTTTCTTACAGAGTCCGGTGTGATGCCGTTCTTGATGAAGCGGGAGAACTGCTTCTTGTACTGCTCCTCGTCCTCTTCCATCAGATAGCTCATGTACTCTGACACATTCTGGCCCATGATGTGCTTCCTGTGCACCTCCGCGTTAAACTCCTTACTTTCAGAGTCGTAGCCTGGGAACCGTTTAGTGCTGAGAAAGAAAGCTGTAATGTCAATATTCCCATAACAATGACAAAGATGAGACATAAAAGCAAAAAATAAAGCAATCTCTGCAAAAGCTCAAAAAGCTCAAATAAGTAAGCTGCCTACACAACATGCCTCATAAAGAAACAATTTGATGGTAGTAGGGCAGTGTGATTTGTCACATTTTAGTTGTAATTTAGATTTTTAGCTTCCAACAATTAAAGGGGTCATATGATTCTTTTTAAAATATTATTATTTTGTGTAACAGAATATGTTGACATGCTTTAATGTTCAAAAAACACAAATACTGTACATTATTGTAGGTCCTCTATGCCCCGCCTCTCTCAAACACTTTGTTTTCTACAAAGTCCCTCCTTCCGACAAGCGCAGTCTGCTCTGATTGGCCAGCTGATCCAGTGCATTGTGATTGGCCGAACACCGCAAACACGCGTCGGAAATGTAACGCCCCTTACCATAATCGCGTGACAGACACAGTGATGAAGCTGGTATGTGTGCACCAATAATTCTGATAATCTGTCGGATAAGGGCCGGACTAGGGCATATGTTTGAGGCCCGTGCAGGGTTCTGCTCAGTTTATTTGGTAGCAAACTCAATACTCATATATGCACGAGCGCACTTTGGATGTGACTGCGCACCGCCTCCCCAGCAAACACGTTAATGTTGGGCCCAAATGGGTTTCACATGGGCTACAGGGGTACAGAGTGGGCATGGGCATAAAATGGGCATCTTATCTGGGGCCCACTTGGGT